TACAAGAATCAAACAATGAATGCATAAATAAGTGGAACAACATATTGATGTCTCTCCCTCCCTCCCTCCTCTCTCTTCTCTCCTCTTTCCCCTTCTTCTCTCCTTCTCCTTCCCCCCTCCCCCCTCCCTCCTACTCTCTCTTCTTTCTTCTCTTGCTCTCTAAAATCAATACATTTTTTTAAAAGTTACATGAAGAAGTCCTTAAGGGTGAACAGAATTCTCTGAGCAGCTCAGGTTTCATAAAAGATGTATATAATTGACAGATGGAAGGAGACATAATAACATTTCTACAGTGCTAAGTAAACTGTAAAAAATAAACATTTAAGGGTTTTCTTTTCTGTCGTCCAGAGCTCACAAGGAGCTGTGGTACTTTAGAGAGCTTTCAAGGTCGTGTTTGGCGTGAGAGCAACAAGAAGGAGGCGGTGGTAGGCTTACTGTCAGGAGACGTCCGTTAATGTCAGCTGATCGGAGGCTGAAACCAGATAGCATGAATGAACCCAGCAATAAGCAATGCGACTACAGTAAGCAGTTGATTAGACCCTTCTTACTGGCTTCCATAATCTCAAACTAGCAGAATGACTCTTCCAACAGTAAAAGGTGAAACAACCCCAGACAGGAGAAATTAAATTTTAAAAAGATTAGGAGATAGTAAGAGTATCATTCACTTTAAATAAGTTTTTTGGACTCAACTGAGTTGCCTCACAGGAGTTAAAGGGGCTCTCAGATACGATCTCAGGGTCATTATCGATGTTCTTTGTGAAATCATGGAGAATTCGGGAAGTACCAGGAGAATGAAGAGAAACAAATGACCCCATTTCCCAAAAGACATAAAGTAGATTGTGAAAACTCAAGTCCACGTCCCTAACGTATTTCCTTCCTTCCTTCCTTCCTTCCTTCCTTCCTTCCCCTCCCTCCCTCCCTCCCTCAATTACAGTTTACTTTCAATATTATTTTGTATCAGTTTCAGATGTACAGCATAGTGGTTAGACAATCATATGCTTTACAAAGTGTTCTTGGTATTTTCAGTGCCCACCAGGCACCACATATATATACATATATTGCAATATTATTGACTTTATTCCTTGTGCTGTACTGCACATCCCCATGACTGTTGTGTCACTACCAGTTTGTTCTTAATCCCTTCACCTTTGTCACCCAGTCCCCAACCCCCTTCCCCCATGGCAGCCACCAGTCCCCTTTCTGTGTCTATGAGCCTGCCTCAGTTTTGTTTGTTTTGTTCTTTAGATTCCACACGTAAGTAAAATTATCTGATGTTTGCCTTTCTCTGCACTTCCCTAACATTAAACTGGGGCAAAACTTGAAGAGATTATTTTAAAAAGTACAATATTGTAAGTGTTTAGAAAAGAATGGGGTGGTCACCATGAATTGATGTGAATTTATAAGAATAAGCCATGTCAAACAGACCTCATTTTTTCCTTTCCATTTTATAATTACTGGGTTAGAGAATACTAAAGACATGTCATGTCTTGACTTTAACAAGTGGGTAGCAAAGTTTCCTAGACTACTCTTTCAAAAAAGACAATGACAGGTTGGCATTTAGGCTGATCCACAGTTGCTCGAATGGCCACACCTATGCCGGCAGGCCATGGGGTCATCTAACTATTAGTAATCAGTGACTCCACACACGGCTTCCTCGGAGAGAACAGGGAGTAGGTATTAATTAGCATAGATTCAGAGTGTGAGTTGGCAGTTGTGTTTTTGACTGAAGATTTATGTATTGAAACTTGAGCACCTGAACTTATTTATATGATTGAAATTTCAGGTATAGACCTTTCCCCACCTGAACTGTAGTTGTAAGATATATAGATCTATTTTTAAGTTTCATAAATCCACCTGACTCATAAATCACTTAGAAGTCAAAGAATAATCTGAACACTTAAAGCAGAGGCTGGCTGGGTGAGAATGCTGTTCTGAGGAATCTTTTTTTCAACACCAACTACATTAACCCCAGGGAGATAGGTAGACGTCTTCCATACCCTTGAAATGTGAAGTTTCTGTGGAACTCTCCCGAAACAAAAGGCATGGTTTCATAAACAACTTGATCGTAGAGATTCCTCCGCAGCGGCTATGAGTTAGCTTCCTGCCGGCTCTCTAGTAATTTTAGTCACCTGCCTGTGCCAGCTATTTGGGCTTAAAACTTTCCCAGCATCGTATCAGAGAGGGAACGACAACATTCTGTCCCCTCATGAAAATTCTTTGGTTTCCTGAGACGAGGAAGCCCATGATGATTGCTGTAGCTAATACAGTTTATTATTAATTATTAATCGTAATGCCAACTCATAAAATTTGTTGGCCTTTTATAATTGACTCTTCATTGATATTTGTAATGGTTTGTCTCTGACCCCAAGAAAGCATGATCATGTTTTCTGAGTAGCTGCACACTTTAAATAAAACGTCACATTGATGAGCTTGTCCCTCGCCCTTTTCTTTGCAACTGTTTGTCCCAGTGTTGCGTCCAGAAGCCCAGTAGACGGTGAGGGGGAAGACTGGAGTGCAGTCTTCCAGCCCTGACTGCTCTGGCTGCTCTCCAAATCCAGCTCCGTCTGCCGTACGGGCTGCCTCTCAGTCTGTCGGTCGTGCCGGCCCTTGGACGGGACTGGGGTGGTTTCAGCTTCATTTCCTCCTAAAAGACCCCCTCGTGCTTTGTGATCCCTGATCTTTGTTATGACTTTGACTTTAATTAAGTCTAATTTAATGACTGTTATTTTTAGAGATTAAAATTCAGTCTAGTTTCTTAGGGTTACCTGTGTGAATTATATAACATCTTCCACTAAAACGTCAAATTAAGAAAGAAAAAAAGTCTTAAAAAATGTTGAATCACATTGTCTTCTTTCGTTGTGCAGGTATTACCTTTTATCCAAATTAAATCGACTCCTGAAAATATGTTGTATGGAAGACTTTTAAATATGGGAGGCCTATGTGATATTCTTTTAAATGTGGAAAAAATGATGTATTCTTCGTCTATTCAGGAACCCTAAGCAGACGTCCACACACATCACTAAAACATTTTTAAGTACCTATATAACAACCTGCTGAAGTTTTTATATAGTGTTTTTCACAAAGCAGTTGTCAAACCCTTTGCCTAACTTTTAAAATACTTAATAAACCCATTATTAGGTATGTTTTTGTTCAGTAAGCAATGAGACTGTGCAGTATTGATTATGGATTAGGGTTTTCTTCTGCCCGGCAACAAACAAGTGCTATAATATAGACAAATAATGAAATGACGTGATTCCATTTAGATTGGCCTCCGGTTGCCGTGGCCCCAAACGCCTGGCAGAAGCACCCTGTGGGATTCGGGAACCTCCTGTGTTCTCCCTGTAAAGATCTTTCAGGTTTTCTTCTTTCATCATGAAAGTTCCCAGCTTCCTCGGTGTCTATTTTTGGCAAAACCAGGGCTTTTTGGTTTGTGTGCATTAGTTTAGGATCTTAATATTATCTCTGACTTTAGAAGGAATCTGATTTCCTGCTTATAATAGCCACACCCTCTCATATGGATTATGTTTATTTATATGCACATGTGAGAAAAGACCAAAAGAGGGGATTAGAAATGTTCTATTAAGGAATAATAGTTAAAAGAACGAATTGATCTGTAGCAACCTTTTGATTCATCTAACCTTGTTACACTATGCTGTTCAAATAAAACAAAGTACATGTTAATCAGCCAGTGATTTCTCATTCAGTAAGATGCTCTGTACTGTCTTAGCACTGCCTTTTTCCCATTATCCGAAGTCTCATCTCCTGAACAATGTTTGGATTGCTTTGGGATTCATTTTAAGTTCAACCCTTACTACAAATTCACTGCTATCAGATTCCTTCAGTCCCCTCTTCTTCTCCTTCATATATCCTGGGGACCGCCCCCCCCCCAATCTTCCTTTCATCTCCCATTTCTCCCCAAAATATGAAAAGAATCTTTCACTTCTTTATTATTCATGTTGTATCAAGGGGGCTAGTAAGGGGACAGAAAATGCCTGTTCGATTTAGTGATAGACAGAAGACTCTGAGTTAGGGCCCAGCTGGCCTTTTCAAAGCTCCGGAACTGGTCAGTGTGGATGGAGCATATCTGGGGAGGGGGGGTGACAGGGGGTGGGGGTGCGGGGAGGGAAGAGTGAACAAGTTTGGGCAGAGGTGGCCAGGTCTGGGAGTTTGGGTTTTATTCCAAGTGCGACTAGAAGCCAGTGGGTGGCTCTCAACAAGGTAGTGGTTATCTGATTGACATTTTACATTCCACTCTGGCTCCTGTATGAATGAATGGTGGGAGCAGGAGGGAAGCAGGAATGGATGCAAGGAGGCCAGTGAGAAGGCCATTGGCGGATTCCAGATGAGGAATGGTGGTGGGCAGACTAGGGTGGTGGTGGTGGACAGGGAGAGACGTGGACAGTATGGGAGATGTTTTGGAGGGAGAATGGACAGAGGTTGCTAACGGGTTGGATTTGGAGGATAGAGGTGAAAAGGAGAACTCAAGGATGACTTACGGCTTTGGGGTTTGTTCTGCTGTGTTGGTGCTGCTGTTGTTGCTGTCTTCTAAGACAGGGAAAACCAGGAGAGAGAACTCTGGGGGAGGATGGAGTTGAGCTGTGGCTGTCTGAAATTGGGGGTGCTTATTTGACCTCCAGATATATCTGTAATGCGTACGAACAAGTCTGATGACTTGGAAGCATGGTGGCGATAGGTCAGGGACAGAGACATGGTAAGAATTTGGAAGATATCAGTATATAAATGGCATTTAGAGCAATGAGCCTGAACAAAATTACCTTGTACATTTGTCATTCTCTCCGATGTATACCGTCTCCCTCCCCTACCTTGTAAAATCCCACCCATTCCACGTATGTATTTTAATTATAGTGTCTAATAATTTCGTGTTATCTTATTTTCAGTAAAATATCATTTTTCTTCTTATTGTTTTTGATCACTAGCATCTATATTTACCTGGAGATCTGACAGTGGTGTGTTTTGTCTCCTGTTGTTTTCTTTCACAGGCAAAGTCATTAATAAAGATTTGCGACATTACCTGAGCCTTCAGTTTCAGAAAGGATCGATTGACCACAAACTGCAGCAAGTGATCAGAGATAACCTCTACCTGAGAACCATCCCGTGTAAGTAGGAGGTGGGCCAGAAGGAGCGAGGCCAAAGTGTCCATATGGAGCCAGTCAAATGCCTGGGAATAATTCAATAGAGTATCTTACATGAAACTGTGGGGACTGAGTTGGGGTGCTAGAATGCAACCAAAGGAGGATTTTTAAGGATTTGTAAGGAGAAGGTTTTTCGGGAGACATTCGGGGGGTTGTTTCTCAAAGTAGAACAACCAGAGGATTCTATATGGCGGCCTTTTAAAACGTCACTGGACTTTAAGGACGTAAGGCTATCTGCGTGCGTGTTGCTAACTAGAATTTATTCTTATAAATCAATTTCTACAGCCTCTGCAGGGAAAAGACTCCTTTGTTCTCAGTGCCTTGTGCACTGAGACCTTTTTGTATTAATTATTAGGACATTTCTAATTTTAAAGTCTGCCTGTTCCCCAGAGGAAAAAAAGAAGAAAAACGAGGTACCTTTGTTTTGATAATCCATTTTGAATTTTTACATTGATGTGGTGTTTCTGTTCCTGTCTTAATGGTTTTCATAGGGCCACGTGGTTGTTGGAATGGTGCTTTGGTTTTTTAGAAGAAAAAACACATAACAAGAGGTCATGTATGCTTAAGTGTTAGCTTTAGTTAGTGCGGGTCTGGGGAAGCATGAAAAGCAGCGAACAGGAAAAGGGCGTAAGAGGACATTCCAGTTTGTTTCCTTTTCAGTGTATTTAACTCCTCGCCAATGCCAGCTTCTATGACGGCTCTGAAACGCTTGGCTGCTGCTTCTTGCTATTTCATTTTACACAGCGTCCAGGCCCTTACCAGGCTTTTCTAATTATGCTTCTTAACTCGCTAATGCTCTGCACTGCCTTAGCCGCTCACCCTTTCTTGCTTAGAATTAAAAAAGAAATAGCGTTATGTAGTGGCAAAGAGCTAGATAAAACCGAGTTCGAAATCCTGATCCTGGCATCGTCCTGGTTGCCTCACGTGGGTGAGTTACTGCTGCCAGTCTGAGGGACTGCTTCTTCGGTCAGTCCTTAGTTGTCAGATTTGCACGCTGTTCGATTTTCTGGCAGTTCTGGTGGGTTTTTTGCTTTGAGGAAGTTGTACTCCTCCTTAGGGTTGTGTGAGGAGGCGAGCGTGTCTGCCTACGCCTCCATCTTGGTCGGAAGTCTTGCTGTGCTTTCACGTGCTGCCCTCCTTCTCCCCATCCTTTCGATGCGTGAGTCATGGCTGGATTGGCAGACGGCTGTTAGCCCCTGCACTGCCCCGTCTAGTCGTCATTTACTCTTTGTTCTGCGGGTAATTTAATCTGACCACCAGCCTCACCTCGACGTTTCTTCAATGATGGTGGGGGTCTAATGCTTGTTCGCTGCTAGACTTTCTAGGAAGGGCTCCCAGATCACCTTAGCCGTTTGCCTGTGGTTTTTATACTTTAAAGTTTGGACAGCTGTGAAATCTTGGGCTCATGTTTTCTCTTCTTGTCTGTCTTAATTCTATTAGTCAATTATTTAATTGTCCTCCGCGATAAAACATTGCTCTTACAAAGTCTGAAATAATCTGATTTTCATTCCCTTGCAAGGAACTTGGTGTTTTGCCTATGCAGGGTGTCTCAGGGTAGCATCTCTAGTTCCTTAGCTCTAGAGTTCTCTCATCCCTGTTAACACAGTTCATAAAAATGTGTGTGTGCTTCCTGCCGCCCTTTGCCACTGTTCCTGGGATCTCGTCTTCATTCACTTCTCCTGGCCTAGCTTTGCAGTTTCTCCGAGGTGCGAGGCTTTGTCCTGGGAAGGAGCTACACTTTCTGGGGTTTAACCCACACGGTCTAAGCAGCTGCAGCCTTTCAGACCCTGACAGGGTCTCTTCGCTTACTCACTGAAGGGTCCGCAATCCCACCTGGTCTCTGAATAGTGTTCTTTCCTGGAAGATACCAGATTTTCTTGGAGAAAATTCTCATCCCAGGCCTGGGGCAAGGGAAATATTGTACAAGCTGAGCTTGGAACATCTAATTGTACCAGAAAATATGTGAATGCTTAAAAAATTATGGGGACATATCAGAAGGACTTTAAAAAAAGCTACCTAGAGGTTTTCCACTGACAAAAATCTGAGAAAACTGGAGCAACAAAGTTAATGAGAGAGAAAGGAATGAACAGAACAGTTGTGAGATGTCACACTGTAGACAGAACATGACTGTGGTCCTAGAGAGAAGAGGGGAGGGGACCACACACAACTTTCTGTCTGGATGCACTTCCTGGGCATGGCCCGGGCAGGCAGGGCCTGGGCAGGTAGAGCAGACTCTTGGGTTGAAGGGACAGAAACCTGAGGCCAAGAGGTCTGAGGTGTCTGGAGTTGCCAGGACAGGGTGTCAGAGAGCAGAGAGCTCAAGCAGTCTGCATAGGTGCCCCTTGAGTCGGTAGCTACATGCAAAGGAGACCGTGTCACGTGGGACTCCATGTGGCCTGGCAGAGAACGCTGGGAGCTGTAAGCTTAGCAATCGCTGGAGCTCACTCAGGGCTGGGAGAACCCGGAGGTCTAACCAGCCTACTGGAGAGGCCTGGGACGGCTCATGGCTCACCTAGTAGGGCTAAAATGAGCTGGACCGAGCTCCTTCAGGCGTGCTTCCACGAGGCTTAATTAAGCAAGCCTCAGGATCAAGCGAATGTACATGTAACTTAACAGTCAGCAAAAAGAAAGAAGGGAAGTCTTCAGTGTCTTTTTTTCCTTTGCTCCTGCCTGCAAAAGACAGTGAGTTTCTGCAGCACACCGGAGGCTGGCTCGGTGGTGCCCCGTGGGTGGCTTCCCTGCAGTGAATTCAGCGACACCTTCCTAGGTGGCTTCTCGAGTTTAACAGTTTCCTGACACGTTCTGTGGGCACCCCAGCAGGCTCCCCACATTTCAGTGTCTCCCCTGCAACTGGTCTTCCAGTGGGTTTCTGGCAAGTCCAGCCAGTGTCCCCGCTGGTTTTCAAGTAAGTTCAGAGCACCTCCCAACCTCCCCTCCTCCTCCACCACCACCACCACCACCACCATCATAGGGTGCTTGCTGGTGGATTTCACCACTACTTTCCCGGCCTGCCAGCCCCCCACCCAGGGACTGGGAGCCATCTCTGCGCCCAGGCTACCACTACACCTTCTCCCACGAGGTCAGATTCCTGACTGGGAGTGTCTCTTTAGCTCCCTCTTAGTAAATTCCTTGGAAATAGTTTATTATTCTTTATAGCGAGTTGTCCTTGTTCAAGGTGCCATGTGGTTTCTCTCTCCTGTTTGGGCCCAGGCTGGTGCAGACGTGGTCCCCGGAGACCCTGCAGGAAGGATTTTAGAATTGGTTTTGGTTGTGTTCTTGGGCTTTAGCACTGGGCCGGCTTCCTTCCAGTGGGAAGTAGCGTGCTTGTAATTCATGACAGGAAGTGGCATCACAGTTTAATCACAGTGTAATTTGTGGTTGATTGGGATCAAGTGCCAGCTGAACCCAGTATCCCAGGACCCAAAATGCCTGGGGCACGTGACTTTCACTGCAATAATGGTGTGGGGCGGCTTCTGTCTGAAGTCACCTGGTTTGTTACCATTGTGAACTCACGTAACAAGATTATCAGAACACTTTTAAATCACCTGATGGTGACATTTGCAGATAGATAACTTTAAAAGAAGAGACCATTAACACAAAGTAAAAATAACTTAAAAATTTGAAAGATTTTATCGCACATACTTACTCTTTGAATTTTCCACTCCTAAAATGAAATTTCAAAGCCCACAAGGTATCGGTTACTTTATCCAATGGTCTCATCTTTGTTGGGTAACAAATATTCCAGACGTAGAAAAAAATCCTTCATTGGCATTAATAGCCATCAAATTGAAAGTGTTTATCCAAGAGCACCTTTAAGTGAGGCCTCAGCCGCTGGTCATTCATATAAGCTTGTTTTCTTTTTAATGATGGAAATATCTTTTCTCCTTGCCTGGATTTTGCTTTTGCCTTTGAAATCTATGTTGCTTCTACTTCTGATCTTAGACCAGTTTCTGAATTCAGGTTGGAGTCTTCCACATCAGCTTTCACCTTCTCTTTTCGCTTCTTCTGTTAAAGTATTTGCAAAAAGCACTGAGACTCGCAGCAAGTGCTCAAACAGTGGGAAATGCCAGAGAATGGTGTTGAATGGTGGTCAGGTGACATCCAGAACTGGCGGTGAGGCTGAAGTCACCGCACAGCCTCACATGTCAAAACTGTCAATTAAGGACTTATGTAGCCTTCAGAAGTTGTAATTTCTTTTTTGGAAACACCACTCATAGAAATTATATGGAGTATAAGTGTGTATAATCTTAGTAATATTGTATTTGCAAGAAAGACTCACCGTTGGCAGGCAAGGCCGTGGCCACACACGCGAAGCGTGGGAACAGCTGCGAGGGGGCCTGAGCAGGCGGGGACCACCGCTGCCCACACGCTTCTGTCCCGGCCCCTGGAGGTGCCAGGTTTGACATTTGACTCTGCTTTTCAGTGTTTCCTGCTCTTGCTTTCAGTTGATGTCAGTAGATGCCTTCAAATATGTAACATCTCTGTGTCAAATTGTTAACCCTGAGTTCTCACCAGGAGAATTATGGTACATTTTTCTCGTTTTCCCTATATGGTTCTGGTTCCCAGAACTTATAGAATTGTACTGTTAGAATTAGTGAATTGTATTATAGGTAAATTATATCTGAATACAGTGACCACAAATAAATACCCACAATCATTTTCTTTTGTACCATCAACAATATGAAAGTTTATAAAGAGCTATCATTTATAATAGCATAACTTATTTGAAATACTTAAAATTAATCTTTAAAGATGTATAAAGATCTCTGTAAGGAAAATTAAGGGACATTAAAGATCTAACTATATTGGCAAGGATTTAACGCTCATAGATTAAAGACTCAATGTGGTGAAGATATCAGTTCTCCTCAAATTGATTAATAGATTCAATCTAATCACATTAAAATTCCAGCATTTTTAGCCTGCTATTCTGGTACCAGAATTTACACGGAAAGGCTACAAATAGG